TGCGCATCAACAGCAAGACGTCATACACAATTTTTCATGTTCAGCTGATCAAGTACTTTTCAATTATTAACGACGAAACCTTCAGATAACACCACGTTCCTTAGACAAACAATAACAACGGCCGAACATCCTGAACTAAGTTGCCAATCATTAACGACCAAAAATATCTTCAGTGAGAATTTTACTGTCAATACTTCCGCCTGTATCCGAGTCCTTGGTAATATTCGTATATAAAACGCAATATGACAAAAGCAATATAAATATATTCAAATTTTCTAGTTTTTAAGTCATTGTTTAGGAGCTGTCGCTTGAACCCACGGATATTCGAGTACTAAGTTAAGGTTCGATGGTCCAGTCATTCATGAAAATTACTGCCAGAGGTACTTGTCACAGAAGTCGAGGGCGGGCATTATTTCCACCTGCCGTCCCACTGATGTCATGAAAGTTCGGCTCCAGCCTCGCATTCTCGCTAAGGGGACAAGAAGTCATAAAATTAGAATTCCCTTACATTCGCCAGGTGTATCTCTTTAAGACAGCATGATAGTAAGTGGTAGCGCAAGATTCACTTTACTCCCCCGCCCTGTTCTACGGACTGACAGTAAAACAAAACACCGTGTTTTTATTCCCCCGATAAAAAACCTAGAACCACACAGCTTCGCCGATAGTCACAGGAAGCCGTAACAGCTAAAACCAATTTCAGAGAAGCCATCTTGGGTTTCAGCACAGAGACCCCTGGTGTCTAAATTATGATCGCAGATCTCGCGAGACTTAAATTATGATCGCAGCTCTCGCGAGACTTTAGCAGCGAACTGGGCATTGGGGAGTCGACGCACGAACGAAACAGTATGACTAAGGAGCGGAATATTAGATTTGCGGGATACCGTTTTTGTTTTCTTTTGTTCGGAAATGGCCATCATGGGCTCTCAATGGGGTTTGATGTTTGATGAAGGGATGATTTTTATGGGTGTTATCGTGCTTGTGTGACGTTGATATCATCTCGTCACGGTCCCGGCTCTAAATGATCCAATAATGCAAGTGCGGACGATCTTGTTTCAGTACAGTTAAAGCATCATACATTGACTCATCAGTATCCTAACGCCCGGCCGCGTGCTGTCGGTGACGTCAATGGGATGTTTCGTTTGGCTTAATGCTGCATCGATTACATTTAAACAATGTTAATTTCAGATATTTCTGATCGATATGTGTTCTACCGAGATGTGTGATCTGCGTGGTTTGATTATTCTACATCAGAAATAATTCGTTTCTTTTGTTGTCATTTCCCGAAATCCAGCTACTTCATGAAGGCGTAGAATTTTCCAAATTCCATATTCCGCAGAAATTTCTCGGAACATTTTCGGAGATTCTATAGTCATTCTTCGGAGAACTGGTGGTGATTCTGTAGGGTTCCGGAGGGCACTGAGTTAGTTTTTTCAGGGATAATAGAAGACGTAGATTATCCCTGGGTTCTCGTAGAAACTGAGGTGTTTCATTTGATAATTCAATTCCCCGTGAAATCTGGGGCTGTCATGTTTTACCGAGTTCCTTATGGTTGTCCAGTTGTGGCGGTATGGCGATTCCTGTTGTGTGTGCAGAGATTTGGTCATGTGGGCTATCAGTAGGGGTGGGTATTGCAGAGAATTTTCATATTGCGATATATTGCGATGCAAAAGCGTATATTGCGATATGCATTGCAATATATTGCAAGAAGTTTTTTTTCAACAAAAAACTACGTATAATCGAGTTAATGCTTGATTTATAAAGCAAAAACACAACAAAATCACAATGCTTGATTAAGATTTAATAAAAACTTTTAATCATGACAAAAAACAAATGTAAATAATATTTGGCACAAATAAAAATAGGAAAGGAACAACTTCAAAAACGGAAATATCCGAAGATTTCCGAGTGTTACGAAGTTTTCCGAATTCATGTCAAAATACCGGTTTTCGATCAGCGTATCGCAATACGTATCGTTTTCATGTCTGAACCGGTAAATACCGGTAAACCGGTTATATTGCGCAGCACTAACTATCAGAATAATGATTCGTTAAAATTCGTCGAGTCGATGTTGACATGTTGTTGTTTGTTTGTTGTTTAACGCCGCACTCAGCAATATTCCGGCATTTAGTGGCGGTCTGAAAATAATCGAGTTTGGACTCATCAATCTACGCCATTGCGATACGATGACATGTGGCGAACCAAGTCATCGAGCCTCACTACCCGATCCCGTTAGGCGCCTTTTACTACAAGCATAGGTTACTGAAGACCATACTGAACCCTATCTTCGCTGGATGTTGACATACTAACAATCATTGATAAGGAAGGAAATCAGAAGCGATGCCGTTCAGAGACCTTTAACACTAGACCCGAAGTTGGTGCCATCAAACCGAGACACATAATCACGGCAAATCTAAGATTCCACCGCGACTTGCGGTGTTTTAGACAACTGGGCGACCCGCGCCCTTCGCAAGATATAGGTCGGCAGTAAGCATAACAAGTAAGTGATTCTACCTTGTGGTTTGTATGGATGTACAGTTTGGGGCAAATTGTCCCTTAAAGAATATGAAATGCTAGAAATCATCCAGCGCTACTTCTGTAAGAAAGTCCAAGGCTTTAATAAGTACATGCCAAATGAAATTGTAAGAGATTCAATCGGGATAACATCCCTACAAGGATATATAGATCAACAAAGCCTCTTACTCCTTGGTAAACTCTGTAATGCCAACACAAGATGCAGCTTTAAACGAATGTTTCTAGCCCGCCTTAGCCAATACCACTGTAAAGAATCACTGATATACAAGAATAAGTTTGATATGAAATCACCTGTTTTTAACATGTTACGGCTTGTTTCCAAATACAATCTGCTTAGTGAAATCCGTAACTACATTTGTGATTCTAAGTTTATGAAGAAAAATGCTTGGTCGCAACTAGTCAAAGATGAGGTAATTACATATGATCAAATGCAGTTGGTAAATGTACTGCAGACAAGGTTGTCTCTCTCCAGATATCTAACAATAAGTTCAGGACGAGAACATAGACTATGGATACTCGCTTTAGAACGACCTCAGAACTTCACTGACATTGCGAGAATTATAAGGCTTGGTGCAACTCCAATAGAATCAAAGGAATGTCTATGTCTAGTTGCTCACGACATTATGAAACATGTTTTATGTCATGCCAGGAGAAACCTAGTAGAAAGGAATTCTCTATTTGAAAGAATCTGTGATATTCTTGACATAGACATTTTTTGTTAAAATGTGGATGGAAAACGATGATGTATTCCTGTCATTCCTCCTCGGGGGTATACCTGACCACTGTAAAGATGTATTGGACTATAATGTTTGGTCAGAACTGATGGTAATGATTAGTTTCTCTGTCCGCAGTTGGGAGAGAATACTCCGTCAATGTTCATAAATACCTTCAGTTCTTTCACAACTGAATATTACTGTATAATATAAGTACTAATAGTTAGAACCTTTTCTGTACTGTTGTTTATCATATAAATGTAATCTTCATTCTAGCGGTTCGTTCTGCCCGCTATCACCAGCCTCATCAGCTCTTATTCTATCCTTTCATTCTACAAGTGTGAAGCCCATTTCTGGTGTCCCCCCGCCGTGATGTTGCTGGAATATTACTAAAAGCGGCGTAAAACCAAACTCAGTCAGTCAGTCAGTCATTCTACAAGATTAGCCCGACTTACATCTGGACTGGCGGCTATGGGAGGCAATCACCGAGCCTGCCAATTTCAGTGTTCGTGCATGACTAAGGCTCATCTGACTAGGACTTCAAATGGACCTTGGAAGCTCATGGAGGAGATATCTGGTGATGAGGTTGTAATGAAGCCGAGAGTCCGGCGTGATCAGCTACACCCTCCCCGTTATTTTACACTGGGTCAGGGCGTCTAGGGTGTGAGTGAAGAAAGTTTAGGTGATCACATTGATTTGACTGGTTCCCTGTACCTGTAACCTCTGCTCGTATTGATCAGTTATCCGCTCTCAGATAGTACCCAGTCAAACCGATCAGTACACATTTTGCCAGTTTACAGGTGCATAGTTCAGATGCAGGCAAAATAAAGTATAAATCTTTTTTTGATGATTGTTGAAATGAAACAAATAGTTATTTGAAGGTAATATATGTGGTGCTTGAATAACGTTTGTATTGTTATTGGTCAAATTTATAAGTGCAAACATACTAAATCAAGTATATTATAATATATATATACTCAGATGTACTCTGTAGTGTGGGTTTTGCAAGTATATCAGCTATATTACGACGTGTCTGCTTCATGTGGGAGGGAATCCCGGAGTGACACAAGTCTTGAACGGTTAGTACGTTGCTCCAACCCACTACACAGGTTGTTGCTGACACGCCTAAATGAGAACAAACCAGCCCTTTACATCGAATTGAGATGCTACACTTTTAAATAATATTGGATTTAATAATATTTAAAGATTGATTATGTTTTAAGCATAAGCCGGATTTCATTTGAAACTTCACAGGCTGCGTTTTCTAGCTTTGTTTATTGAGTCCTTCACTATTCCGTACTCTGTTAAACCGGAAACTCGTGATGCTTACGAGTATACAAAGCGTCAATTGTAATCATAACTCAGTGGGAATGATCCAGCCCCGGTGAAATGTATGCTAAACGTCAAGGTTCTAATGGCTTGAGGCGTAGGGTAGATTACTGTCCGACCAGGGTTGGTTCTTCAACTGGAAGAGAAGCATATTTTTAGAGTTGAGTGTTATGTAGCTTAGCTATAACTAAATACAGCAGAAAAACTCCCTTCCTCCCCCTTCCCTCATCTACCCTACCATCCACCCATCCACCCACCCACCCACCCTCCCACCCTCACTCACTCACTCACTTGGTTGACACGTCATCGCATCCCGATTGTGTAGATTGGTGCTCATGATGTTGATCACTGAATTGTCTGGTCCAGACTCGATTATTTACAGACCGCCGCCACTTACCGCGTTCTCACTCTCTTCTTCTGTTTCAGATGTACGGCATCACGTCCTTCCTGTTCGTTGTTCTGTCCATCGCCGGCTTTTGTTTGGAGACGTTGCCGTCGTTGAGGAAAGCGAACAACGTGACGACCAAATGTGACGGCGTTGACCGCATATCCAGCGTCGTCACCTCACACGAGGCTCTCAACATCATCGACTTGATCTGTACCGTCTTCTTTACACTGGAGCTGATATTAAGATTTACGGTAGCCCCGAATAAACTGAACTTCGTACGTTCGCCAATGAACATAATTGACCTTCTGGCTTTGATTCCTCTCTACGTTCAGATTATATTCGAAAAATCGGATCAAAAAGCCTGTTACCTCAACGAAAGACTTGTGATTGAGATTATGTTCATCCTCAGGATCATCCGGATGTTCCGCATCTTCCATCTTGTGAAGCATTACCAGGCGCTGAAGGTGCTGGTGTATGCACTGAAGGCGAGTCTCCAGGAGTTGATGATGCTCTTCATCTTCCTCATGATCGGGATGCTTGTGTTCGCCACCATGATCTACTACACAGAGAGGAAAGACGCCACGAACCCCAGTGACACCTTCAACACAATTCCCGTCGGCTTCTGGTGGGCCATCATCACCATGACAACAGTAGGATACGGCGATATCTATCCACGGACTCCAATCGGATACATTGTTGGAACAGCCTGCTCTGTTTGTGGTGTACTGCTTGTGGCCTTGACCTTTCCAGTAATTTCCAATAACTTCAGTCTGTTTTATACTCACGTCAGGTCCCGATCGCAAGCACCAAGACGCGTGGAAGCAGAATCTAAGGACCCACTTATACCCCTTACACAGATGCCTAACTATTCTGCAACTGATCGTCCCCCTTCGGTAGCGTCAACTGTGGTAGAGCCGTACATGAACGGTCACGCTCGAGACAAAGACAGTGATAAGACAAGCCCGATTCTTGTCTCCAGAATGTCACAAAACGGGTCCATCAGCGACGTGATTATGAAGAATATAGATTCCTCGTATAGCCTACATCAGAATGGTTCCATGAAAACACGCTCAGACGACGGAGGATCGTGTCAAGGGGAGACGCACGTATGACGCGCTTGTACGTCAGCCGTGACGCCCTTGTGTGTCAGCCGTGACGCCCTTGTGTGTCAGCCGTGACGCGCTGGTGTGTCAGCCGTGACGCGCAGGTGTGTCAGCCGTGACGTGCAGGTATGTCAGCCGTGACGCCCTCGTGTGTCAGCCGTGACGCGATGGTGTGTCAGCCGTGACACCCTGTGTGTCAGCTGTGACGCGCTGGTGTGTCACCAGTGACGCTGGTTGGAATTCTTGTGATATGGAGAAGTAAGAAAACCGTTTCCCTATTCATAGTGGCATCTCAACCTAGTGCTCAAGCCTGTAGGAACAACGCTGAGAATTGTCCACATTCCGGCAGCTGTGTGACAACAAACACTGTTGCCTACTTTTTCCACTTTTCTTCTGTGATTTATATGTGAATTTGATGCTTTCTGCAGGGCGGAAGGCAAAAGCTAGTTGGCTGTACAGAGCTGTCTCAGTACGGGATATTTCCGTATCTTCCATCGATACTACTTCATGGGTTAGCATTAACTGCCTTCCTCCAACACCCGTGAATGTAGACTGTATTTTTTTTAACAGCCAATCAAGGAAAAGCTTGGTTCCAGTGAACCATGTGCTGTTGAGAGTTCACGCCAATGAGCGCTCGGATTACATAGGCAGTATTTTCCCTTGCAACGTGCTTCTAATTTTGAATGGGTAATAAAATGACACTTGACAAGAAATGACAAGAAATGAGCACAACTCTGTTCATGACCTTTCTTTAAACCCTAACGCTGCCTGATATTGAACAGAGCAGAGGTTGCAAGGCCATAGTGCACATTGGAAATCAAATATTGCCTTCATGAGCTGAACGCTGATTGGCCTGGCGTACGCTGGCTTTCCTTTCACTGAAAGGGGTTACTTGATTGGTTGGTTAAAAATAGAATTTGATCCCCACAGCGACTTTACACCTTCAGTGGTGCTGGAGGAAGCAGTGCAAACAAACCCGTGATGGGCGTGTTCATGTTCTCAGATAACTCGTTCCCTCACTACTCATTCCTCAGATTAGACCGATCTGATGCAACATTTTTCATGAAAGGCGCTTTCCTTAATACAGCCCCTAAGCAATAACAGTCCAGCAGATACACCCAGTCAGCACCAGTTTAGCAATAACACTGGAGTTAACGTTTAGAAATAACTTGATTAAAGCGAAACCCAGAGCACCATAAACCACAGAATTATTTACAATTCTTTAGACTATTTGACGCCGTTTTAGTGTAAAATCCCCGTTATCATTAACTCATTATATATGAATGAATGGTTCTTATAAATCTAAAGAAGTTTTCACCTTAGATGTTGGGATATTATAATTAAGACTGTGAAAACCTAGATTTTGTGATATCAACAGAGTTACTGATATTTTAAAATAGTTGTGCCCTATATTTACAATCAAATTTGTAATATCTCAATTTTTCGCAAATATGTTAAATAATTTGTGATATGGTCACATGTCTTACTGGTTTGACAAAATACAGAATAGGCACTTTAATGGCGCTTCGTGGTAAACATTTTATGAGGTGAGGTGAGGTGAAATTGGGTTTAACGTCGTGCTTGAGAATATTTCGCTCATATGACGACGTGCATGCGCGTGTATGTGTATGTGCGGCTGCTTGTACTAGCCCAGACTGAAGCTGGTTTTATAGTGCTAGCCCACTGAGATACCATGCCGCAGTGAAGCATGAATACCCTACTCAGACACATTATACTGACTCCGAGCCGACCAGTCCTTGTTGTACCCATTTAAACATTTTATGAACTTACTGATATTTCGAATGATAACAATATAGCACACGTCAGTTGAGTGTCGTTATCGTTGTAAACAAAATCATGTTTAGGTTTTCCCCTCCCACTTTCTAACTGGTTTTAGTTGGAAATGAGAGTTTCTCATTTCCAACTATAACCAAAGAACACATGAAATAGTACGGATCGCCCAATCACAGTTACTATGTTCCCGAATGAAGCGTGATAGACGAAGGGAGATAACTCTGAACTGTAATGCTCAATCTCAAAGTCTTCTATAAATGTACTACCACAACCACTACTCCTCTTCCTCTCCTACTACTACTACTACTACTACTACTACTACTACTACTACTACTACTACTACTACTACTACTACTACTACTACTACTACTACCAAAGGTAAAAACTTTTTCGGTCGTTGTCAGTAATGTCCTTTTGCATCGGATCTGTTCGCTTAAAAATATTCTTTTTAAATTAACAAAAAAAAATACGTTTCATGTAACGTGATAAGTGTCAGCTTTTATAAGTAACAAAAGTAGTTTGGAAACGGAAACAGCTGTATTTTTGTTTAAGTATTGTGATACATGTACATAATTTATTTTATTGTTTTATTTATATTCTACAAGCATGCCAATTCATACCCCTCTAAAAAAACACAGACAAAAACCCCGTTCGGTCGTTTCCCCTTTCTCCGTGATTATTTACAGGTTATTTAAATCCACTAAAACCTGTGCACTAAAAGTGCGTGACCACTCGTGTGCATTAAAACCGGTTGGTCACGTTAAGTTACTGCTGGAAACATCCAACCAAGAGAGCGGTTACAGATCTATCCTGGTTGTCTCCCTTTGTTTTATCCATCACAATCAGTCGGCAACTTTTGACATTGTGATATAATGAACCAATACTCGTGTCATATTTGAATCGCCATCATAATCATCATAATAACGGAGCGTACATTAATGAAAGGTCCGTTATGAACCACTAGTGCATGAATGCGCCTTTGTTTCCCATGTACAACCTCATTTTTACTCACAGCGCTTTTGATCTCAGTGTTGTGGTGTGGTGTTTGCGTATTATATTACACCTGCGTCATTTTAATCAATGACGTAGTTTTTTCTGTTCCTCATTCCTTTAATGAAACTGTTCGTCAACGAATGCATGAAATCAGGCGTGAGGGCGAGATGGGTGCTGACTGCGGGCTGGGGTAATGTGGTTGTGGCGATGTTGGGGTGGGGATCGGGCCGATGAAGCGGACGGGATGGGGGTGAGGTGTATGTTTGTTACAGACTCGCGACTTGTATGATTACTGCTGCACTAAACAGCACCGGCATTGACACCCCGATGGTTGTGCTACTCTGTACTCCGTGCAACACACCCGGATTCTATTACCACTTTGTAACATCCAGTATTTCACTAAGGTAAGCTCATTCACGCTGTATATCTAATGTTGAACCTGCAAACTACATATCTCAGCTTAAACCCTCGCATTATATATCCCAGTTTAAAGCCACTTGCTATTTATCCACCTTGTACCCTCAGGCTATGTATCACAGCTTGAACCAACACTGTAAATATCCCACACGCTATATATCCCGGCCGATCAGACCCTTCACGTGACAGTGTGTCCAACGTGAAAGGTATTTTCTCTTGAGACACATAAGTCTGTATTATCACAATTGTTCTTGGGATCAGAGGTGACAGAGGTATCTATTTACCACTCCATATCAAGTTACAAATACCTTCTCGTATTTTTCACATTTTTACTTTTCAGGCTTACCTGTGGAAGAAATACTGATCTGTAACAACATTTTATGTGATGATTGTAGTGCTTCGAGGCAGATCTATAATCCGATACCTGTCTTCGCGAAGGGCTAATGGGTCTTCCATGTGAGGTCACGTCGGGTGAACCCTTGGTGAACTTTGACCAGCCAATCAAAGTACGGGATGCGTCAGTTCTTTGAGCCAATCAGATCTCAGCTTTCTAAATGATTAGGCTCCATTACCTCATCACATCGATTCGGAAATTTTGATTTGTGAAATATATCGTACACAGAACGAAAATTCCTTTCTATTTCACTCGACAGGTGTAGACTTCAGTCCGCCCCACGACAGTCTACATGCGGAACCCGTCTCTCTATTTCGTTGTCGAAGTTCAGAAATCAGATGTGCTGATTCTGATCACAACAAACGTTAGACCAACAAATGCTTGATATTCATCGAGTTCATAAGGTCAGCAAACGTTGACCACCTAAACAGATACTTAAACCTTTCAGAATAACGAACACATTGCAACATTTAGCATCAACATCATGATTTTGTGTGGAGTAGCCGTTCGGTCAATATGAAAAACAACGACTTCATATTTCCCTCTTGTGCATTTATATATAGTTGAATTGTACTGATATTTCACTACAGTTGTGTATTCGATGGTCGTAGAAACGAGCATTTTGTTTGTTGACCACTGATTCCATATCCCGGTTTTCATAGATAATGAGAAAGGCCGTTTTGGTACCAATAATATCAGGTGGAATCCATGTACTCGTCTTTGACTCTAGGACTATAATAAGGTGTAAATATCAACACAATATCACAATATAACCCCCTGACAATTGTCCCACAAAGACACATTAGCACAACGATGTTATTAACCTTATACGAACAGCCTCTACTGCTTGTTCTTTCTCTACTCTTCAAGACCATCGTATTATACGCCAGCATGGCGTAGTGATTACCGCGTTATCGTAGTCACGCCGAAGACCGTGATCGATTCACTTCAAGGGTCAAAACGTGTAAATCCCTTGATTGTGCATAAAGGCCCACCTGATCATACGGGCGAAGAAAGTCGCCCGTCAGTTAGTCCATATTTCATGTCCTCAACACCCACTGTAGTGATCAGTATCTGAGCCCTAAGTATTGACATATATTACTTTACTCAACTGACATATAATTGGCATCGTCTACAACGATCCACCTGCTCAGAAGTTAAAGAACACCCAACGACTTGTTAACCTGTTCTGGCTTGTTGGTATTGCAACACTCAGCCTTCCAATTGTGGGTGTTCTTAAAATTACCCAACTATGTGTTTATAATGTATGTTTTTATTGGTCTGTTTAGATTATATTCATATGATGATGTTGAACTTTGCTGTAAATGTACTGGTGATTTTAATTCATTTGTATATTAATAGGGATAAACATTTGCGTACATTTTCCTATTTGTTTGTGTCGGTGCAATCAGCTGGTAAGATGTTAAGATACGGGTTACATTTCAAGCGGCTGTGACCTTTAACCGGAGAAACCTTTTGTAATATGTCTTCAATCATAGTTTATTGATTGCCTGCCCTTTAGAAAATGTTGTTTATTAATGAGGCTTTCTGTCCATCTGAATTTCAAATGGTATCATTGCCTGTAAATATTGCATCATATTGACTACAGCTTTGTCACACCAGGGTTAAAAGTATTCGGTATTCAGCAATAGTTTCAGGGTGAGCTACAGACCATTTGGTCACTTCCATACTACGAATCACACTTACATATATAATATATGTCCTGACGAAGAGTTTCTTATAATATGGACCGACAAACCTGATTAATCCGATGACTGTTATGGCCGTCTGCATATAACCACGATTATGTCGTTAATCCAGGAATTAAACTGGGAAAAGGTACTGTCCGGAATAACCGGGTTTTGCTCTGTTGTATAAACGAATAAGAGTCAAAAGAAATCATGGAAAACACGATTCCTTCATATTACTAAAGTGCCGTAACGAATAACCGATTCTTCCATATCACTACAGTGACTGGATTCATGACATGCCAGATTAGTCTCTCAGATTAGACAGATTACGTTTAATACAGATGTAGTATATATCACGGATAGTCCCCTCAATGCATATCATCAATGCATTTGTTCAACATGGTGCCAAATTGTTCTCCTTCACAGTTGCCAATGTACGCATTGTAAGTGAGTCGTCGTGAGGATGTGTTAGATGTGGATGTAGGCTGCAACATGTACGTCAAAGTAGTCCACCTTGCCAACGTCCTTCTGCGTGGTGTGTCGTGCGCCATGTGTACGGCGGGTCTTTGACACAACGACGCATTTAATATTTACGCTTGTTTGTCATTTGATTTATGATTTCTTTGGAGTTTTCCACTCTATAACAGCATTGACATGTTACTGGTTGAAGATAGGACCGGTGACATCGATTGTGTACATATCGCTCCCGCCAGACGGTTCGGTTAGCCTGATTCGTCGTTCTTACCGATTCAAACCAAACAGCTCTTAACTCTGCACCCAGTTCTCTGTCGGATGAAAACAAATGACGAAACATATCAAATGAGCAAACCCGGGAGATCCTCACTGAGGAATCTTAGTTCATTCAGATATAATTACTCGTTTATTTTTAAAAAAGTTTGTCTCTTTTATTAAACATATTCGTTGGCTGTCCTGAATACAAAAACGGTAATGGTTAAGAAAAGTTTTTCTTTCAGGGGAAGATGTATGCTCTAAAGCGGTGTCAGGAACATTCTACGTTTACAACCATTCTAAACACACACACACACACACACACACACACACACACACACACCCCAACAAAACAAAAACAAACAACATCAACAAAAACAAAACCAAAAAACACCAAACAAAACAACAACAAACAAACAACAACAAAAAAACAAAACAACAACAAAAAACAAAAAAACAACAAAAACAACAACAACAAACAAAACAAAAAACAAAAACAAAACAAACAAAACAACAACAACGAACAAACAAACGAAA